CCCCAAACCCCCTCCCTACACACACAAACACACACACGCGTACACCCAACACCTCAGCGAAAGGGCGAATGTACGGTACCCCACGCCTTTCCTGCACACATTGCCGTACCCTGCCGTACCCGATGTTGAGCATGTACATCGTGTCGCCGGGTCGCAGTCCTGGACACAAACAAAAAGACAGACAGACAGACAGACAGACAGACAGACACATAGGGTAAGCACAATGGAAAGCAGAAAGCAGGAGGACAAGTTTAAATCCTGGATCCTGCACACCGGCAGCGGCCCGACGTATGGGGTGGTCGCGGTATCCAGAGTTAAAAGACTCTAAATGACAACAGCTTTTGCCTATTCTACTTTATCCTACACACACACACACACACACGCACACACACACGCGCGCGCATATCCCCCGGTTGGGGTAACCAGCCACCCACCCATCCCACCCTCCCCACCCTCCCTCCTTCCCCCTCCCCCTCCCCCTCCCTCCCCACCCGCNAACCTACCCCCACACTCTCAGAACCAGCAAAGCGCCACGGACACCAATACCCCGGGTCCTATTACTGCTGTCACCATTCACACTGGTGTTATGTGTGGTGCGAGTGTGTCGGTCACTTTCCAACACACCCACCCCGCCATCCACCCCCACGTACCTGCCGCCTGAATGGCCACGTTGAGCCCGGTAGTGGCGTTGGGCACGAACACTAGGTCCTATGTGGCAGCACGAAGCCGTAACAGACAGGCGGGAGGGGGGCGTAACAGTCGTAACAAGTGAGGTGGGGGGGGAGGCGCGTCCGTCATCGTGATATTGTAATTGACGGAATTACATTACAGGTTAGTCCAGTATTCAATCCTGTGATTGATGCAGATGGCTGTATTGACACTTCACTTCTCTGATAGATGCAAAATCCCGCCGTACTTCGGAATAAGCATTTATTGACCTCATTACCCTTATGGATAAAAAAGGGGGTTGTGTGAAATCTTGAGGACGGCATTCAGGACGGGTGAGGTGAGATTGCGAGAAAGATAGCTGGCCGATCGCCCGTCGGTCTAGGGGGCCAAAATGTGTGAACGACTGACCCATGGGTCAGCCCCAATGAAGTCCGCCATCTCCCGCATCACCCGGACCATGTGAAGGAACAGCTCCCTGCGACAGCCGGTACATGAGGATAGCACGGTAAGGCGTTTGCGGCCATTTGCAGGCGGGTGCCTGGCAGAACTGCCAGGAGACATCTCTACACTACACGCGCAGGAATCCCAACGAATGGCCCAACGGCGCTTCCACACCGCGGTTTTCGTTTCAATTGCACAAACAGACACCAGGATGATGAATTTTTGATGCCCGCATCTGGCAATAATGGGATGATGTGTGTACCTGTCAAGGAAGCGCAGCGGCTGCGCTTCGCAGTGCTCGCGCCACTTGTTTGCTTCCTGGTGAGCAGCTCGGCACACAGCTCCAAATGCACCGTGATTTATAAATGTCCACCTTTTAAAATCGATCATGAACAGCTGTCGGCAGGGCTCTCCGAAGCCAAGCGTCGCGACATTCTCTAAGGACGGCGGCTCGAATGGTAGTTTGGGCGCAACATAAGACTCTCTTGAAATAGATATCAAAGCTTCGACGTTATCAGTAAAAAAACTGCCGAAATTCTGATAGCCTGTGCGGGCCACAGCAGGCGCAGGGCTAGAAGATTGCGCCATAATCGCACGCTATAAGCTTGTTCAAATATCACGGAGCTTTACAGTCTTAGAGTCTTGAAACTTGGGTTCGAAAATGTCGCAAACGAAATTTCGGTTACACTACGACACTGGTCCAGGCAGTAAGCTTCGACTTCTCGAACCGAAGTATGAGTGCAGAGATAGGCAAGTTATTGCGGAGGAACTGCCGTGGTGCGTGGAAGTAGGGCGCATGCATGCATGTGCCGGACCACAGTACGGCAGGGGACGCCGAGCTCCTACTTGGGTCCCACAGGCGCATTGGTTCTTTAACTGCCCTTGTTTCATCTATTACCAGGAGGTGTGTCCCCCCCGCTGCTGGGACAGTGTCCTCTAGTTTCCCCCCCCCCACCCACGGGTCGGTATCGTACTAATTGTCCTTTATGATGGGCTTAATTTTGGAGTACCCGTATAGGTGCGTCCTCTCGCCAATTTTCTGTGCCTCGTCGTTCCCCCCCACCCACCCAGGGCAAACCCGGGGGTTGCCACAATGCAGCGGTCCCTGGTTTGTCCCTGCTGGTTTCGGGTGGGTCGCCCGCGTGGCTCTTGTCGGGGCGCTTGAGGTTGTAGATTCATTAACGGTGCAACACAGGTAACTGTCATTACTATCGGCCACTAGTGCAACTTTCACAATGGGTTGGTGTTGGGAGGGGGCTTCGCAACGGGTTGTTTTGCTATTGAGTTGTGCTTGCGGTTGGCGGCTTAGCTACTGTAACGCAACACGGCAGGACTGAGCAATAATCTGTTGTGATGTGATTGCGTTCGCCAATGATTGACCAAAAGCTATTAATAATCCTAAACAGGTGTAACCTCTTATGTACACTAGGATATCTAATGCGATACAGTCCCTATGGGAAGAAATGAATAAGGCCCTCGAGAATAAGGCCCCAATGAATAAGGCCCTCGAGAATTCTTTTCGTCGCAGGTTCTACCTGCTGCGCAGAACCTTAAGCAAATTTTCTTTCAAGTTTCTGGCAGCAATTTTAGACATAATGGTTTGGGGCCTTGTGTCGTGCTGCGCCTCATTGCTCGCTGCCACTGTGTTTCGCGTCTGAGTCCATTTCGTCCGAAAAAGATTTTCCCACACAATCGCATGCAAGTTTTACAGTGCCATACAAACCTATATGTGACCGTAAGGGCCCGAGACGGATTCTTCCAAAGGGGAATGTAGTAGCTAGTACACTGTACGGCACACATAACCTCTACAAATACGCGCTAAGCGCGACCGCCAGCATCTCGAGAGGCCTTTTCAGCGGCCAGCTACTACACCTGTAGTTGTGTGTGATTAATTGTCACGCTATAAATGTGTGAACAGGCGTTCATACACACATGCTGTGTATCACACCCTTAAGCATTACCTAGCAAAATGCAAGGTAGGCAAGCAATAGCGGCACGCAACCTCTGCAATTCAGTTATGATATAAAACACCTTGCCATACATCTACACTAGGGTTTGGCACTAATGGTAAGCGGACGAGGGAGAATGAAGATGACCTCCCGCGTACCCGCATCAATACCAATACAACGTCCATGGGCCCCCCGGCTTTTACGGACACACCCGCACTTGTGTGCGGAACTTGTAACTTGTAACTAATGGTAACGCGCGACCATTGCCCCCGAGAAATCCCGGGATCGAGACCTATCAGGGATAAAGATCCTTCCGATGGAGGAAGTTATTGCGACCCTTGTTGATGGACGGTGGTGACCTGGGATAAAGTTAACCTGTTAGCCGACCAGGAATGGAGTTGGGCCGCTGTCCACCCGTCAGATTCCGTTGGATGAAGGCGGGTGCGGAAACTGAGCGATCCGCTACGAAGTTGACTAGGGGGTGACTGGATGCGGGTGCCCCGAAATACTGGGGAAGGCAGGGTTTCGCAGGGTAGCTGCCACGGTTGAAGATATACCCCCCTGTTTCACACATCCATATGCTCAGACCAGCGCTTCACTGACTGCACAGCAAGAGAAGACATTATCAGACAGCATGTAGACGCAGCTGCCGCTGCTGGCACCGCCCTTGCACATTCCCCGGGGTGTACTGCAGGAGCCGCCAGTTTTCAGCACCATGCAGAGGCTCAGTCCCGTAGCTGGGGTCACTGGGAAGGTGTTACCCAGCTTGTCGAAGATAAGCAAGCCGAGCTGCATGCCCTTCCATTTTTTCTTCCGGTAGCTGAAGGTTTACCATTGATTGTTGTACTCTGGAGGCGCTGGGCAGCTGTACTCACGCAGGATGTGTCTGTAGGGCAGGGAGGGTACGGGAGGTGTATTCATGTGTGTCGGGTGTGACCGGTAGGCAGGCGGAACATGCACTTTGTCAGTCCATGGCCAGCATCTGGTAAAAATTAAGAGCGAGTGTCTAAAAACCAGGCATCTATTATACCACGGCACGATCTATAGACCATTCCGTACAATGAATAAACCTAAGAAGGTTCTCTACTGTTCCGTTTATCTTTAACATGTTCTTAAGCCATCCTTAGCATGGTAAGGATGAAGGATTCTATATGATTCTTATGCTGTTCATAGCACGCACTCTAGAGTTCTCAGTACTGCGGCTACTTTTAAAATTCTTTAGCGATTAATGTGGAAGTGTCGACGCCAACCCACCAACCCACCAAGGATGAGGATGGCAGAGGGGAGTAGATGCAGTCACTAGGATGCGGGATGTTTGGCTTAAGTGTGTGTGTGGGATGTATCCAACCGACAGGATGCGTGCCCGAACACCTGCAGTACCTGGCCGCTGGAAAGGCCCCTGAGTTACCGTAGTGCTACTTATAGTTCGTGATCGCTTTGTTCGGGGAGGGGTCAAAAAACTTTCTGAAATTTGTACGTGCTCTTTGAATTTCGGGGAAGGACGGACCAGATTTTGCGGGCATGATACAAATTTCGGGGCCCCTTCCAAAGTTTCGGGGCTTTTCAATCTGCAGCTTCCAGTCAGTCTTCCTCCACCGGCGTGAGCGCAAGCCTCGCCTCGCCGGCTGCCGTAGCATTGACCGCATTGCGCTCGCGCCTAGCAACCTCCTCGTGCTCCATTCGCTCACGCTGGGCCTCGACAACAGCATCATCAAGCCTAACTGGTGCTAATCCAGCTCGGTCGCTCACCGGAGCGTTTGGTGCTAGCGGTTTCATCCCGCATTGAAGCAGGGTTGCCTGTCTTGCACGTTTTCCAGCGTTGTTCATGTCCTACGTTTATGAATATATGTTATGTATTATAGTGCTGATTTCCGCCTTGAAATCCTAGTTTTTGCGAAGTTTGATCGACCGGCTTCGGAGGGTACGATACTTCGGGGCTGCGGTCCCTTGGGATACCTTAGAATTTGTACGTGCTACATATTCGTGGTGCCTCCGAATTATTGTAGCACGAACTATAAGTAGCACTACGGTACAGGTGAAGCGCTTCGCGCGTATCTGTAGTTGATGCGTGTGCGGTACTGCGTACTAGCTACTACACCGCCCAGGATGTGAGGATGGGGCACCGCTCTGCATCCCTCCGGCTCCAGACATAGCAAGCATGCTATTGTAAGGCATGGTGTTCCTGGAAGTGCCCAGGATCAATTCAGACGCGGTAAATTGAAGTGAACTAGATATTTTGCCGTACGTTGTTCACGTACGTGTGTGATGTGTGGGACAGGGGGGTCATATCTTCACCCGTGGCCGCTACCTGGCGAAACCCTGCCTTCCCCGGTATTTCGGGGCACCCTCATCTAGTCACCCTAGTCAACTTCTCAGTGGATCGCTCAGATTCTGCACTCACCACCCGGCGTCCAACGGAATTTGACGGACCGACGGCGGCTCAACTCCATTCCTGGTCAGCTCGCAGGTCTACTTTATCCCAGGGCACCACCATCCATCAACTACCAGTATTTGTGTGCACAGAATACTGGACACGTGCTGCTGACGTTGGATGCAGCGTGCCATATTCCATGGCATTTAGCACTACGGGGACGGCCCAGTCATAATGTCCTCAGTCATACCCCCCGTTCATAAACCCAGTGAAAAAACCCAGTTGGTCATATATGCGTCGTATAAGTTATTTTTTGGTAACCAGGCTCGCCCCCTCCCACGGAAGCAAGCACAACTTTCCTGCCTGCAGGTACCCCTCTGTCTGTACGACCCCTGAGCGGTAAGGCAACTACTCAAGAAAACCTAGTTTGCGCAGCCCCTTGGGCCTCCGGCTCATATGGGCCTGCTAAATCTTCGGAGATAAATCCAACTTATCAACATGCAACAGACACGGACACAAACATGGTTGTGGTTGTGAGTGTCGGCTTCCTTGAAGCCGGAAAAAGGGCGGGGCTCCTTTAATCTGTACAGGCTCATTGCTGAACCACATGTGCACAAGTTGCTTGCTTGGCTGTCTTGCTGTGCAGATAGCCAACGCACTTTGCAAGCGCAGTCTGTAAGGCGACGTTACAGGAGCAGTAGCGTAGCTAATTGGTCGAAATTCGCGCGCGTCAGCCACCGAACCAATAGGGGATCGAGACTACTCCCGTCACGTGAAGGGGTATCGGCAGTACCGTGCGTGAGGTTGATGTGAGCTTTGTGCTGGAGTAGACAGCGCCATGCTGCTCTGGTGCGGGCCCTCGAAGATCCTAAACTTTACCTACTTTTGTGCATAAAACGTCATCTGATCTACTAGGGAGACGCTAATCAATTCGTGAAGCGCGAGGCCTTTGGCAGACAAGTAGTTGCGGCTAAGGTCATGGAGAGATAGCCGCTCAAGTTGCATGTTCGATCAACATAAGCATCTCCCAGGAGCAGACAGGCTTCCTGTCCGGACATCCTGATCGGGTGCAATGGCTGGAACACTGCAATGGCTGTGGGCCGTCAAGTGGGAGCGGGAGCACAATTGGACGTTTTGGTGCCTGGCTGTTGATGGGGCGCCCCCGCCGGGCAACTCGCATCTACATGGCCCCCCAGTGGGGACATGTGGCTCCAGCAGATTCGGAGGAGGAGCAGGACAATAGCAGGCGCTGCAGTGCATCACTTCTGGGGAGTGCCCAGTAGTGCAGGCGGTAGCACAGCAGATGGTGGCCTATGTACCCGGACCCATATCCCGGGCGAACATGTGGCTTGCAGGAGCACTGGCAGGGATGCAGCCATGAGTCATGAGACATGAGACATGAGACATGATCATACTCGGTCATACTCGCGGCACTGCCTGACATGGAACATGCACGGGCAGGGCTGCAGCAGGCAGCCCGCAATGCACCTGAGCCCGAGTCCCCAGTAGCCCCACTGGAAGTCGTGAGAGCCCGAACAGCGCTCAACTCTTGTCAGCAGGTTTAGGGCTTTGCAGTGCCTAGCATGCCTTGGTGTGGCTGGGCCATCGTATTGGTGTTGGACGGGCGTTTGGGTTGTGTGCAGCCGGTCGGGCTGGGAGAGAAAGGGGGGGGAAAACAAGAAAGGGGTGCATGGTAAATTTCGGTAGGCAGATTATCCCACTGGCCTTGGCAAACCTCGATCCCGGGATTCTTCCGGGGGCAATAGTCCGTGCCCAACCAGTTGTGCCTAACCTGAGCCGGAATAGTGCTGTCTCCCCGGACATTCCGCCGCCAATTAGTCATTTCTCATTAATTGTCCAACAAACTGACTATCACACCCAACCAGCATGCATAGAACTACGTAAACCAGCTACATTCCTTCACTTTGGCTTCTGTACCTTAGCCACTATTTGCTTAATAACCTATCTTGATGAGGTGAGGGGTGTATATGGTAGTTCTGGGGCATTCGCCTTCCTGGGAGCACATTCAGTTGGGTGGGTCTACAACCAACTCCAGCCATTTAGCAGCTGTACATAGTACGGCACACATATTGTCTACAAATACGCGCTAATATGGCGCTCCACCAGCATCTATAGAGGCATTTTCAGCGGCCAACTACACTCTATCATGAGCAGTCGTTCCCCGCCTGTCCTTGCTTAAACTTGTCTGCTAGGGTCGTCTTTGAATTGAGGCATGATAACTAATATTTGTCGTTTTGGGTGCGAATCGGGTCACCTCTGGGCAGGAATCAGTACGTCACGAAGTCTTGTTATGTATGGAAGCCGGGTATAGGGTCCCCCTCGCTCCCCCCTTGGGAACACTTGAGGGCATTTTCGGAATGTTTGGAGTTGGTGGGGTTCCGAACCGGCGACCAAAGGTTGCCATTCCGAGTGGGATTGTATGCCTGGCCGTTCAAATGCGCGCTTTGATGGGTGGGTTGTTCGGTTGCCGGTTGAAGACGAGTCGATCTTGGGCGTCGTACTGCTCAAGGTTGGCAGAGTTCGCTATTTCGTGCAATTGGATTGCGTCCTTGACCCGGCTTGCTTTGGTGCGATGTTTGGTTGCGCTCTGTTCCCATTTCGTGCTGAGGGGTCGTAGCTTCCTTTGTACTAACTTGGGCTCGTTTTCATCTTGTGTGTAGCTAATACTTCCTGGCTATATGTAGTTCGTCAGCGCAAACAACCGCAGCCCGATTGGAAACGCTAAATCACTCACCGAGAATGAAAGCGATCTTGTCAACGGTCTTTGAGGTGCACGAGCTACCAGTGCCCGAAGAGCTGCTGAGGGCCGCTGTAAAACAGTAGGTGGCTGTGAAGCTCGTGACATTGAAGGGGCCCGAAACGGATGATAAGCGGTACGGTGAAGTGGCAGTACTTCCCTTGCAACCCAGGAAGGGGAAGTTGTTGACCAAGATGGAATTCCCTGGGGATGGAGGTGGTGGACTGACGGGTTTGACAGCCCTGGGGGGCTTGGGGGGCTTGGGGGACTTGGTGGGAGGACGTCGGCGTGGAGGCGGCCGGGTGGCTGGAGACTGGGATGGCGGGGGAGGTGAAGGAGATGAAGATAACGGACCTGAGGATGGAGGTGTTGATGCAGTGGGTAATGGCGGGCTTGGGGGTTTTGATACAGGAGGCACTGGCGGCGGCGGCGACGGTGGTAACATTATTGGCATGGGTGACGGAAGCTGGACAGGGGAAGAAGAAGAAGGTGGAGGGCTGAAAAGAGACGGAGGTGGAGGACTGGATGGGAGCTGGGATGCAGGTGGCGGTGGAGAAGGCATATTTGCAGGGGGAAGGAATGAGGATGGTGCTGGAGATGTGGGAGGTGGTGACGACTGTGGTGGAGGTGGTGACGACTGTGGTGGAGGTGGTGACAACTGTGGTGGAGGTGGTGACGACTGTGGTGGAGGTGGTGACGACTGTGGTGGAGGTGGTGACGACTGTGGTGGAGGTGGTGGTGGTGGTGGTGGAGGCATTGGTCGTGGTGGAGTGGGCGGGCTGGGTGGTGGTGGGGGGGGAGGGCTCGGCGGTGGTGGTGGAGAGGGCGCGCTGGGTGGTGGTGGGGGGGAAGGGCTCGGCGGTGGTGGTGGAGAGGGCGCGCTGGGTGGTGGTTGGGGGGGAGGGCTCGGCGGTGGTGGTGGGGATGGTGGTGTTGGGGAGGGAGGTCTGGGTGGTGTTGGGGATGGAGGTCTGGGTGGTGTTGGGGATGGAGGTCTGGGTGGTGATGGGGAGGGAGGGCTGGGTGGTGATGGGGAGGGAGGGCTGGGTGGTGTTGGGGAGGGAGGGCTGGGTGGTGGTGGGGAGGGAGGGCTGGGTGGCTCTGGTGGAGGGGACGGACTGGGTGGTGGGGGGCTGGGTGAAGGTGGGGCTGGTGGGGGTGGCGGTGCAGGGCAGGGGCAATAGAAAAGCTCCAGTGGGACGTAGCCCCAGCTGGTCGGCGAGTTGGGGCAGACAGGGTCATTCGGGTCATTCGCCGTCACCCAATTGGCGCTCAACCATATTTCTGGTGCTCCGCTTACTGGGGTAAGGCTGGCATCTACTGACTGCAACAGAGCAAAGAAGTAGAAGGGGAATGGCGAACAATAACTGAAGCCTGAGAAGTCACTCCCAGCTGGTGGACTGGTCACGGCCGAATAGATTGCGAAGCTGGCTTTGATACCAGGAGGAATAGGATATGTGTGGGTTGTATTTGCCATCTCATTCGCACTCAATGGACTGCAGCCAGATGTGCCATTGAAGCGCTTTAGAAAGGTTCGATTCGGGAGTACACGAAAATAGGAGACAAAGAAAGAGCTCATAGTGTTATTGAAATAGAGATCTGCCAATCGACCAGCATAATAGTTACCCACGCTTATAGGATAATCCATCATTGATATCACTGACTGATTGATGGCCACACTGCCTGTATCAGACGCACGGAAAGGCACAGGTACATCGGCAGCAGTGGTGATATCTGCACCCCCGTAAAGGATGTGAATGTCATTCCCGCAGGCCAAGCTGATCGGTGGCGGTGGTGGTGCAGCCGCCTCAATACCAACAGTGGTGGTGAGCAGCAACATCCATAGGAAGGTGGTATTCCGCCCAATGCCATTACTCCGCCGCAGGCTGCATACTGGGGATGACGATGGTGCGGGGATAGTGATGGCTCCTGCTGAGTCCTTGGGCGCATTAGGCTGTTGCGACAGACGATCAGGGCCGGCTTCACTTGGGGAGATGGAACCTGGATGGCGTCTGGAGCTGGCGACTGCCGCAGAAGCAGGAACCCCTGCCATGCTGTTGCAGCACTTCCCTTGCTTGCTGCTATAGATGGCACTGCCACACGTCCAGACACAAATACGTGTGTGATGAGCAAGTGCAAGAAACAAGCCCTGCATTCCATTTATCAATCAGCAACCAGCAGCATGTAATTAGCTTGCGTTTCATGGTTATTTTGGCGGTCAATGAGGTCATTGAGCAGTCATCCAGCTATGCATGCCGCATGTCCGGAACTTCTAGAACTGTAAAACGCACTCATCGTGTTTCGCGGCACCATCCAGTTCCTTCTGGCCACCGCAACATGATGGACAATAACATCAGTAAATGACGTTTGATGATCGATAAATGAACCATGTAACAATCAACAACAACAACACCCCAACAACAACAACAACACCCCAACAACAACAACACCCCAACAACAGTATCAAAGCCGCACTCTCAGCAGGTGTCAGAAAATAGTTAGTGCGACACAGCCGCAGCAGGCGCATACGCTGCTGTGGTGGTTACGTGTGTGGGGTGGGTGCATAGAAAGGGGCAGGAACTGCAAACAATAAAGCATGATGTGAATTATACCAACGGCAGGCATGGTCGCTTGCTAGGTAGCTAGCAGAGCAGTGAGCAGCTGCTGCGGTTTCACTCACCGAAAGCTGGGCCAGGGCGAACCTTGGACTGCAGACTCGATGTCCGCAACGCGGACTACCTTTAGACAATCCGCCAATCGGTAATTTTATGCTGTCGTGACACAACAGATGCCAGCTTTATGCCATGAAATTGTTACTGAAAAGCAGTACAAGCACGTAGGTCACTGGGAGGTCGAAAACCGCCGGCGAGCGTACGGATGATAGCAGCTCCAAGTTCACGAATTGTTTCTCAGCTTCAGAAATTTATGTGTAGAACCATACAAGGAATCGATCGTTAACTTTCTGGCAGAACTTTCAAAGCTATCGGTACCGGTCGTCTGTTGGGTTTCACCACAGCAGTGGCCGCCGTGCGGGGGGCGTTTCGTTTCAAAACGAGCTGTAAGAAAACCTATTACACATTTTATATATTGATAAGCTTTCAACAAGCATCGGTAGTGGCTAATAAACCTTCCGCCTCTCAGCGTGTTGGCGTGTGCGTGGTTGTTACAGTGGGCTCCAGACTCACGAAGAGTAGAGCCATCGGGCCAGCTGGCCGTGCACTGCACTAGAGACAAATATACGAACTAGACTACCACCCAGATGAGACAACACAAGTCCATTAGACAGCCAAAAGCGCGACCAAAGGGAAGGCTCAGGACCCACAATCATTATTGAAATTTCGCCTCTTTAAAGAGGCCCGAGCCTCAAAAGTCCTCCAATTAAGAGAATCCAAAAAAAGCGAAAATAGGTGATGGCTAATTATCCATCGGTGACCGCTCCCATAAGCATAACAATTTGCATTGTGTTGGTGCGCCATCAAACTGAAACCCAAGGCACTGGCCACGTTTTTTCAAGCGCGCGTATGTAGGATGTCGCCATAGTACCGGCACCTTGAAAAAACCTATCTTTGCTTCTACAGACCTTACTCCCGGTCGACACGTGCAGCCTGGTCCCACTCGACGGGTACACCGCTGCCTCCATGCGCTGCTTGAACTCGCGCGTTGTTCCTCAAAGAGGCCAGTTGCCTTACGCACTTTGCGATATCTGCCTCCAGGCCAGTCGCCTTGCGGAAGCGGAACCATGCGAGGCGGCGTCTGTGCTGTGAGGGCCATTAAGCTCCGACCGCCAACCGCGTAACATGACTGGCAATGGAAGACAACGGAAAGAAGAGCTATAGAGTATACATTGACAGAAAATGAATATTTTGGATGTTGAAGTCTGCAGGAGATGCGACCGCCCGACTGCGCGAGCGCTGACAGTTCGCAGGAGCCGGCGACCCACTTGTCGGCCCTCTCAGCAGCCAAACTAGCCAAGTCCTTTTCCTTTATTAGATTTCATTTTGTTCATAAATTTTCTTATTGTCTTCCATCGTCAGTCCTGATCCGCGGGGCCCATGGACGCCAGCGCAAGCTAACCGCGCTTCGATTTCTATGCACATCTGAGTAAGCACGGCGCTCCTGCTAAGGCGGCCTTGCTTGGGGCTACGGCATCCTTTAACGCATGGTCGCAGCCATGGTCGCACCTACGCACAGGAGCTGTTTATTAGTGGAATGAAGGCAGTCGGGTTCGCCACACCTAATGTAAGCATCTGGTAAAATATTTTACAAGTTTTTACAGATGATTTTTCAGGCCTATCTATTTTACCATCACACGGCAACAGGTGCATCGCGGTGCCTATGCCTAAAAGCGAAAGGGTTTGGCTGAGGAGTCGAGGTACCTATGAATCTCCTTATCGTCCATCTCTAAAGTGACATTTATGTGTAACTATTACAAAAACAACGTTTCCGGCTGCTTTGCAGGGATTTCCCTTACTTCCCTTACACCACACATTTTTGATATTACGCAAATCAATGGACAAGGCAGAGACTAAAAGTACGCGTCTATGTCTACGCAGCCGTTTGGTAGGGCCTACTCAAATTCTTGTGCTCGTAGCCCGTTGCGATGGTAATCAGCAGCAGCAACGGCCTCTGTTAAAATACTAACTAGGCTTAGGGGGTGTTTCCACTTGGATTAAAGTCACGGATTAAGGCTCAATCCGTTGCATATGGAAACATTGCGCGGATTAGGACGGATTAGGCGGATTAATAAGATTGGCGGGATTAGTTAGATATCTACGCCCGTATATGTATCCGCGCGCTTCGCGGATTAAACAAAGATTAACATGCGCACATACTTCCTATACGAAAAGCTTAAACTCGGTGGAAAAAATCGCTATTTGGTGGCCACCAAGCATCATGCAATGTCGGATTAACACGTTTTACAATGCCTCGTAAAAATCCTGATTGATAGGTTAAAAGGTTATCACTTATAAAGGCTGTAGTTGTTAGCAATTTTTTTAGAAGCTTTGCGCTTCTTGTTCGGCATTACGCACCACACCGTGGGTGTCGTTCAAAGGTGCTGCATGGCCTTCATGTCGATACTCGATGATATCTTAAATGTTCAGCACTACTCGTTTTTACATTTTAAGCACGGAATGGCAATTGCATAAGTACATGTGCAAATGTTGTACATCAATCCGCTCCGTAATCCAGACGTCTGGATTAAGTCAAGATGTCTGGACTTAATCCAGACGTCTGGATTAGGTCAAGATGTCTGGACTTAATCCAGACGTCTGGATTAAGGAACGGATTGAAGTACAACATTTGCCATGGCATTTTCAGAAGTACTGGATACGGTGAAGGTGGTTTCTAAGGTTGTACGGGTCCAAAGTGAGGCGAAGGTTGCATTTGCTGGGAGAGGAAGTGTGAAAGGTATGTTTTTATTACAGAGACTTAAGGTGCTTGATAGAGATTTGAGGCGTTTATTTGGCCAGGATCAGGCCCAATCTTGCCATCGTTCGGAGACAGTCGGTGTGTAGGCGCACCGCTTCTCCCTTTCTCCCACTTTATACCTTAATTTCCTGTATCACCTTCTCCTTATATTATAGTTTATTCAGCGTCCTTTCTGACGCGCGGCACACCAACTTCCGAAACACGAATTGCTGCCGCGCAAACTTCTTGACGCGACGTCGCCTACGATCTCCTGGGGATCAGCCTAGTCTACTTCATCCTTTACAGACATCAACTTCGCTGCTGTATTCGTGGACAGTGCAAATTTCCACCATCCCGTGGAGCTGACCTTTTTCGCCCTCCCTTACCGTTACCTACCCGCCCTTAACTGGGCGGGGTTGATCCGGGGAGGGATTCAGGAACTCTTTTCGAAGGTGACCGGAATACAGCCGGGATGCAGCAGATGACATCTAAACAAGCCTGGATGGCTCAAGCTGGAGTGTCACGACCTAGGGTTTTAGGGTTTTAGGACCTTTTCCCAACAGACTTTGTGGGGTGTCACGGATGCGACTGGAAGGGGCCCGGAGGGCCCATGCTGGGCTTTCTTCCGACACGCGTCGCATCATCATGCGGGCGTCTCGATGAAACTCGTTTTACGCTCCGGGCGCCTTCATCCAGGCCTTCATCATTCCTGGATCAAGTACACGAGTCAAGTTCTGCTTGTTGTTATGGAGGTACGTTACCACTCGCTCTCTTGCTGTTTCTCTCCGCCGGGGATAAGTTTAGGACTCAGCCTGGTGTGTTCGACTTTGCGTCTGGGTGGTGACCCTGATTAGTTACCTTATCGAGAGCAGTGATTTTTTTTCATTTAGGGGGGGTCTCAATTTATTCCGACCTAAGTAACAAAGTTGCTAGCGTCGCCGTAATGTATTCCTTAAGTGTGGGGGCTCTGGTCCAGAGCTCGGTTGCAGTAGTACTGGCCGGCTGCAGCATGGCACTGCTCGGCTGCAGTATACCACCGATGTTTGTTGTATGATGGCCGGTTGGTCATGTTAGCACAGAGCTGTTGCAGCAAGTGATGCCGGGATGAAGCATGTCTGTGGGCGAGGGCTGGCTGTCAGTGGTTGCCAGCTGCCTGCAGCAAGGCGCTACCGGGCCTCAGCATGGTTCACGCGAGCAGTAAATGGGCTATATCAGTCTCTGTGCTCGGGGTATGTCTGGCCTTCAGTGTGGCCTTCGGGTGCTGGTGGGCAGAGGCTCAGGTTTGGCTTGGGCTTGGGGTTCGTCATGGCTGCCATGCCGTGCTGTTGAGTCCTTTTTGTAATAGTCGTTGCACAGGGTAGGTTGTGTCATGCCTTAACAAGTTAGCCAGTTGTTGGGAAAAGGTCCTGCAGGTAAATGTTAGGTTTTTGTAATATATCAGGTACTAAAGTTCAAGGGCGTGGCTTTCCTGGACACGGTGATAGTGGTCCCCAGTCTTTGTGCATGCAGAGATTCTAGTAACCCAGCATAGCCCCTGCCCACTGGTTTGGCTCCTGTGGTGAGTGCTGGCTGGCAGGGGGTGGTGCGGGTGCCAGTGCAGGCTTAGGCAACTACTTGACGGGTGCCGACAAATGTGGCGCAACACAATAAGCTCTGCACGACCCATTTGCTATCACCCTTGATGTACGGGCCGCTGTCAGGGTATGCGACAGTTCTCTTGCAGGATGCCTATGTCATTACTACCTTTGGGGTTCAGATGCGAATTGTGATGAGTGTACACTTTGTAGAGGTGGACCTGACTAGCAGATACGGTTGCCTTACACGCTGAAGACGCACTGGTTCGCTTCTGTTTGCCTGACTTTGGCTGTGTTGAGAATGGTAACCCATGTGCGAGGCCTCACAGCCTGAGCTGCATCGGGGTTATCGTCTGTTTGCCCTGCGTGCTCCATGCAGGGGACCCCTGAAGGAATTTTTTGCAGGTCGGTTTGCAAATGTGGACGCAGGTGGTCCTTTTCACACTCAGTATTGTTGCATCAGCGTACTTCGTGGCTGGCTTGGGTGGGCGATGTCGTGATATCGCTTTGACCACCTTGTTGGCTTTTCTCCCATCATAGTGACATCGCATCATGCGCTTTGTGCATGCCTACGTCTATTTGCTGCCTTGGTTGCCGCACTCAGGCTAATACTGCAACCGCTTGGGCAAGGACTTTTCTTGACCTGAAGTCTTGGCCTGCCAGGGGTTTTTGGGCTGCCGCTGGTGAAAAGTCCTGGGCAGCCCTGGAACGCCGCAAGGACTTGCTGGGGCCAAGGTACTGCCGCCAAAGCCCTGGCAGCCAGGGAGCAAAATAGAGAAAGAAGCGGCCAGGGGGCCTTGTGATGCGGGCATGTTGCTGGGCTTGACCGGATTGTGAGGAGGTGGTGGGATGCAGGGCTCGTACCTTTTTAGATTTTTGGAAAAATGGCCATTGGAAAAACGGCCTGGCAAGCCGCATCACCAGGTCGCGAAACATACCGTTGTGCCGCAGGTAGGTATTGATTGGGTTTGCCAGGGGGTAAGTAATTTTACACGGGGGACCTCCTCGGGCTGACAGCGCCCAACAAGCACCCAACCCCACGGCAGTTCCCCACAACCGCGGATGCACACCGAAGCAAGGCCGGCGAAGTCGCGAGCAGCTAATAAAACACTTAGCGAAAAAACCGCCAGGTCCGCAAGCAAGCAAAGGAATCAACAAGGGTTTGTATCTTATTCGTAGGAAACATTTATTTTGGCCTTTTTGGCCTGCCGCACGAAAACGTTCGACCTCCCACGAAAAGTTCGCGTCACACGAAACTTCTACGAAACGGGTCCAAGGAAGATAGGAACCCCGGAATCAACCGGGCACCAATGCCTACGGGACGGGTCGGCCCACACAAAGCAGCTGGCCGTGCACAACGGGCAGCAGCCACGCCACCCTTTATGCAGAAAACCCGATGATGCAAAGTCCTGCAAGCGTGCCCAGAAGTCAGCTATAGCTTAGGGCAGCCGGGTCAGTCGTGTGGTCTGCATGCATGTAGCGCCTACCTGTCTACATTGCAGTAAGCCGGAGCCAACACCACCACGTCCCTAACACACTGCTGCATGCCTACAGTAGGGGGGCAAGCAAGCCACAGATGCGCACGCGTGACTCGGCAGCAGCAACGGCTCTCCAGGACGCTAATTATTTCTTGCGCAATAGGGCAGAACCAGGAACGGTGCATGCGTGGCGTAATAGGCAGTCCAGGGCCTGCTGGAAAACTACCACACTGACAGGGCTCGGTAGAATGGCCACGGATATGGCTGTTACCTAGTATAGGAATGCCATCAAGCGTCAAACGCCAGAAAGTCTCTTTGTGCACATTCTCCCAGTGCACATTTCGCCACAGACGGGAGGATGCTGTCGCAAGGCGGAGAGAGAGAGTATTACAAGGAGCGCCCTCCTCGAGCTCACGGTGGCCGACCACCACCCAACTCCTCAGCAAGTCCCCACATCCGGGGTGCAAACCAAAAGCAAAAGAAGCAACTGCCACAATAGAGAGGCTGCAGAGGGAAGAAGGCTTAGAAGCGCAAGCAAGAGAAGCACCACATAGTGCCTCTTGCACCCGGCGGCCAGCAGCAGCCAGTAGGGACCAGAAGCTAGGGACTCGGAACCACAGCAAGGCAGGACCCGCGCTTGACAAGGACAGGCGCCTAGAAGACAAAGGAGCAGGCAAGCACAGCCTCCCGGCATCACCGCACGGCGCCCAGCAGTAGCTGCCACCAAATAGTAGGAAGATGTCCTGCTAAGGTCTCCACCCGCATAGGTTCTCTCCCGCTCACAAAATTGAAGACGTCAAGACCTGACAATGCACGGACCAGCACTTTACTCAGGTCACAAAAAGACCCTCCCGCACAAGAAGTGCAGATGGTGCGCACCCACAGGCCATGGTGTCTGCATGCTGCACCGAGATGCTCCCCGTGGCCTGCTGTCGCTCCTTCCACGGACAGGGGCTCCAAGGCTGAGAACGCACATGCAGCGAGGCATGCTGCACGTGCTTGCAAAGAGGGCAAAGTCAGGGCGGGCCATGCCAATCCTGCCCTGACTGCAAAGATAACTCGGGTAGAATTGTAAAGGAGAATGAATTCGGAAATCAAGGGTGCGTCCGGGCCAGTCTGTTCCCTGGGTGATGACTGTCCAGGGGTGGCGTCGTGTGTCCGGCATGCAGGGATGCGCCTATTCCACTATGACAACGGGTGACCGCGTTACGTCGCGGTAAATTCGCGTTACGAGGCTTTAACGCGAGTTTAACGCGACGCTAACGCGATATAACGCGAGTTTAAGCACTGATGACGCACCGGTTCGCTTGTGTGTATGGCCTAACACACTACGAGCTGAGTAATTTTGGCTGGCAGTGCGTTAGCTTAAGCAAATAACGCAAACTTTACGCGATCGTCTCCCAGACTTCCGAGAGGAACCTGGCCAGCACCAGGGGTGGGGCCTCGGTCATAATCGTGAGCATGTTGCACCCATGAAACGCGAGGTCATGTTCATACTTAGCCTGTGCACTAGTGTATGCCGGGCATTCCACAAAGACATGCATTTCGTCTTCAACTGCCCCGCAGTCACAAAACCTGCAGGCTTTGTCACAAAGCCTGCAGGTGCGTGCAGTGCACTCACGGCCGTTAGGTCGGTTAATCTCTAACTCCCAAGACTAACCGGAAACACATAAGCATTTGATGCAAACGTTGGGGCATGGCGATTTCAGGTGGTTTGCCCGCTCCCCCGCGGGTGAGCAACGGAGAATCGGGTGAGAGACCGAGCTTTATATTAGAGCCTCGTGCCTTAATAGGGAGGGGTAGGGTATGTACAGGGTTTCCGGGTTTCCTCAGTCTTAGTGAACCCTCACCCCAAGAGCCAGATCAGGGATGGAGAGGAGTCTTCTTGTGTGTTTCAGGTTCAGTGCGCAAACTCGCGTGATGGAGCCTTGACTCATGAGAGCGTGCACATGTGCGATGCCACCCACCCCCGGGGGAGGAGAGCGGAACTAGCCGACCTGCGGCTCTCGGCTGCTTAGGAGGGTGCAGAGGCCCCTCACACCCATTTCCCGTCTGCGGGAGGAGCTTAGGTGGTCTTTCCGATGGGGCTGAGCAGCAGTCCCTGGCCAGTGCCAGGCCCGGTCAGATACTTGCAACGTTCACATACAAGCACACACACACACGTACATACATACACACGCACACAAGCTCGCGATATGCCAGCTGAGCTGATTCCTGTGCCTCTTATGCCCTGGTAAAAACCTTCTTGCGGACATAACTCAGCTCAGACAATGCACGGCTAATATCAGCGACTCTCCAATGAGTGCCCAGTAAGTTTGTCATAGTGATGGCCAGATCGGTGAGCAATGCTTGGTCGTCGGCCTGCACCAGCTCCACAAGAGCCTGTGCAGCGACTTCATCAAACTTGCGTGGTTTGCGTGTTCCTGTTTGTCCTCTAAGCGGCAGGACATTGGTGTGGTTCAGCAAACGACTAAGTGTCGGCTCATTTGGGATGGGCGCCCTGTGAACAAACATCTCTCTTTTCCGGAGTTTCGCTATGAAGACCTCAAGGCAGTGCCCGGCTGGCTGCTCCCAACACATGATTTTATGTTCACTATCGACCCCAAGAGCGGCTACCACCATCTAGACATCGACCCATCCTTCTGGGAATACCTGGGGTTTTGTTGGCGGGACGTGTTTTACGTCTTCACCCAGCTACCTTTCGGCCTAGCATCCGCGTGCTGGGCTTTCACCAAACTCATGCGCGAGGTCATGCGCCCCTGGCGCGCACGTGGATGGTGCTGCACTGGTTACATCGACGACCAAGCCCACGCCGACCAGGATGCAGACCGGCTGATAGCGCGGCAGGCTGCGGTGGTGACGCGGTGGTGAGCTCGAAGCCCTCGGTTTCTTAGTCAACCGGAAAAAATCCATGCTCGGCGCGGTTCAGCAGAGAATCCGCTACTTGGGAATGCTCATCGACACCGCTGAAGGGGCCTTTATTGTTCCGGAGGATAAGAGGGACAAACTCCTTACTGCAATCCGCTTGACACTCTGTGGTCATAAAGTACCTGTGAAGGCCCTCGCTTCTCTTAAAGGGCAAATCCCCTCGATGTCCTGGGCCTTCGGGCCCTGGTCACGGCTGCGAACCCGCGCGCTGGGCAAGCTCATGGACTCACGATCAATGTGGGGGTCCCACCTCTCTTTGTCCCCAGCAGCGCGTGAGGAGCTAGAATTCTGGCTGAAATCCTTCGATAAATTTAACGGCCGTCGTCACCTATGGGTTCCCACCCAGGTGCATTCCTTGATCTTCTGCGATGCGGCCGGCAAGTCTGCAGCTTCCTTAGGCGGCTGGGGCCAAGCCTGCAGCGGCCCGAGGCAGCTGGCAGACGGAAGCTAGCAGGATGGAATCCACACCGCAGGAGCTCCGCGCCATCCTTCTAGCCATCCAGTCCTTCAATAGCCCCGCGGGCCTACCGGGCCGGGCGGTTAAGGTCCTGACAGATAACCTCAACGCCGCAAACATCATCAACAAAGGTTCCGCAAAAGCTGACAACTCCTACGCGGTGGCATGCGAGCTGCATGAATTTTGCTTCGAGCACGACATCCGCCTGCAGGCCGAGCGGCGGCCCCGAGAAGAAAATAGACTTGCCGATTTTCTGTCAAAACTGAAGGACACAGACGACTGGATGCTCCAACCCGCCGTCTTTCGCTCGCTGGACGCCAAGTGGGGGCCTTTTGATGTAGATTTGTTCGCTTCGCATACCAACCGACAGCTCCCCGTGTACTACTCGAGGTTCTTCACGCCGGACACTGCAGGGGTGGATGCTTTCCGCTCTGCATGGGGGCGCAGCTGCTGGGCCAATCCCCCTTTCAGCCTGATCCTTAAGGTGCTGCTGCACGCAGAGGCTTGCAAGGCCCGCGTGTGCCTGATCGCACTGTACTGGCCGACCAGGGACTGGTGGGCAAGGATCACTGCAGACGGCGTCTGGTTTGAACCCTTTGTCCACGAGGTCATGATGTTAGGCCGGGCAGCGGACCTATTCTTGCCGGGTCCCGACGGCAACACGACCCCCAAAGGTGCATCGGCTTGGGCCACCCTGGCGCTTCTCTTAGATTTTTCCGGCCCCATCAAAACATGCATCCACGTCCCCGCTGACCCGGTCGCCCGCCTCCCGCAGATCTAGCGACATGTGCAGGGGCCTTGTTGGGCCCCCTGGGGGACGACGCCACCGCCGACCTCCAAGCCCTCGCCACGCAACTGGCGCAGGAGGCACCACAATCACTGGCGGCCAGGACTACTAAGGAGTATGCCGCCACGTGGCGCCAGTTTCACTGCTGGTGGGAGGCTCACAATTTTCCGGGCGACATCTATTCCAATCCGGGAGAGCTGGTAGCTCTTTACTTGCTGTCCCTGCTGAACTGATGGTGTTGGGCCCGGCCGTGTTCGCCTGGCCAGTGCGGCAATCAGCACCTACTTCCGCATGGCAGGAAAAGCAACACCCACAGATCACACTGCATGTGGCATCGTCCGGACCTTAGCGGAAAAGCGGCTCCATGGTAAACCGCTCCAGCGCAATGCCTTGGAGCCAGAAGACATCACAGCGCTGGCCCGCTTAGTGGAAGGTCCTGAGGTACGTCTAGATAATTTAATGATGGTGGCAGCGGTGGCCATCATGTTTGGCGGTTTTCTCCAGTTTGATAATGCCGCAGAAATTTGCGTGCACGAAGATCTCCTTCTAATTTCAGCTCCCACATGGAGATTTCCATTCCCCGTTCGAAGACGGACCAGTTGATGCGAGGCCACTGGGTTGTCATTGCATGCTCCGGAGGTCCCTGCTGCCCCGTCGGACTTACAGAACGCCTGCTGGCACAAGGTGGCTACCGCAGAAGGCCATCGACAGCAGATGAAGATGTGGGACCGCTCCTCAGACCAGTCCAATGGATGCAGCGTGGTGGATACCTCTCGGGCCCACTGACAGGCACACGGGAGGCGCCAGTGCACTCCTTGTCGTACGCGGCTTTCCACACACGGCTGCTGAGAATGGTATCCCTGGCAGGCATCACACGGCATATCAAGGCACACTCCATGCGCATAGGCAGGAACAGCACGGCAGCGGACCGTGGAGTCCCGGCAGAGTTGTGCAAGGCACATGGCCGCTGGCGCACAGATGCCATGGTACAGCACTACACGCGGCACGACACTGCGGCCAAACTGGAGGTCTCCCGCCGCCTAGGCCTCGACAGTGAGCGGGTATCTCTTCGGTCTGCAGTGTAAGGCCCATGGCAGCCGGTCTCCCTGCTTCCTGTCTCCACCATTCTAAGCACAGTTAGCAAGTACGTCAGAGTCAGAGCCACGAGAAGACGGCTAAGGGAGACAGGAGCACAAAAGTGTTGACTTAGATGCGACGGAGTGAAGCGATCGGAGCCTCTAAGTCTGGTTCTGTGCAACGTCTGGTCGTACAACCGTATTCAAGTGGTGAGTATATCACGCTTCAGCTCCTTCGTTGCAGGCATTCTGCCTTTCACTCAGTAGAGCTTCAGCTTGTAGTTCACTAATCCCCACCCACCTTCCCCCTTGGTCTCGTTGGTTACCCCCTCGCTTCCAACCACCCTCTTTCCATAATGCTGGTCAATTGCAGACAACTCCACACCGGGCTCGGCCAGCGGCGGGCCAGTGGCAGACGCCCGCTGAGATGCGGCTGGAAAGTCGGCGAGTCGACAGAGGGAGGGTTGGGGAGGGCTTTTCTTTGCGGTTTACATCTTTCTAGCTCCGTACTGTGGCCTTGGGGAGCCCCAGTTGGCTAGGGCTCGTTGCTGGTTTAGTTAAGCCCCGCCCTTTTTTCTATGGTAGTTCGGTCGCGGTGTGTGAGTCTCGTTCAGGTGGCTTTTGGGCGGTCCTTGGGCTCCCGTCTTGTGCTGTTCTGTCGTGTGCATGTTGCCCCGTAGGGGTGTGCTGGTGGGCCGCATGGTAGTTGTGTGGTGGCTGGTGAGCCGCAGTCGTGCGGCCGTGGTCGGCTGAGGCTGAGTTCTCCTGCAGTGTAAGGGCCATGGTTGTCGGGTTTGTTGTGTTGGCACTGCAGGCACTCGTGCACGTAGCGCTCGATGGCACTGTACATGCCGGGCCACCAGAAGCGTTCAGCTATGGTGTGCAGTGTTCTGGCCATGCCGTGGTGTCTGGCGAGCAGTGTATCATGGTATGCATGTAGGATGTCTTTTCACAGTTGTGGGTCGTTGGGCACAATAATCTTGTTGCCTTTAAACCACATGCCGTCAGTGAAGGAGGCTGTGCCCCAATTGGTGTCAGGTTCGGCCAGCATCACCGCTCTTAGGCGGTCAGCCAGGGCTGGCTCCATTGGAGACCCGTCAGTAGGCATGCTGATATACATCATGGCTGCCACCACAGTTTCAGGTGTATGGATGCAAGAAAGGGGATCGGCAACATTCTTGCATCCCGGCCGGTACTGTCATGTGTAGTGGGAGCGGCACAAGAACTCTTGCCGCAACACTTGGCATTGGGACAGGTCCTTTTTGGTTTCAAACCAGATGTTCGGATGGTGGTCGGTGACCAGCAGGAAGGTATCCTGTGCGGTCTCAAGGTATGGCCGCCACTCTTGTAGGGTGTTAATCGTACCCAGGAGCTCTTGCTCTGTGATAGTGTAATTGATTTCTGCAGATGTGAACTTTTTGCTGGTGTATGCGACGGGATGTCCGTCCTGCAGCAACACACCGCCTGTGCTGTAGATGCTTCATCAAATTGCCGCTTGCACATGCATTGCTTGTTAGCTTGGGCGCGACTAACAACATCACGTGGCTTTGAAGCCTGTGTTAGGGTGAAAGGTGTAATAAGATATGCACTGCAGCACGCAATAGGACTGCAAGCAAACTATGTGCTTGTTTTGTGAGTCTCTGTGTGTGCACCGCGATGCATGTTGTGTTGTATGGCCATGCAGGCTGCTTGGCGGCGGGCTTGGGTTCTGCATGCTATGTAGCTGGCGGGTTGCTGCAGGGCTCGACGACTTCCTCCTTGCATCATCCTGGGCATGGTCCTGCTGCTGTTCTGTTGCTTTTCTCGCCCTCTGCCGCCATCCTTGTTCTTCCGCTTGTCCCTGCCATCATCCTTTGTCGTGTCTGTGAGGTTGTGCTTGCTTGAATTCTCGCTTTGGTGGTCTCTTTACTGGCTGTCATGGTGCTGCTTGCTGTCCTGTCGTCAGGGTCTGCTTGCTGCTGGCCTCCAGTCCTTGTAAGTGTCCTCACGGAAGAATTGCATGGACTCCAAACAACCTGCCCTCTCTGCTGCCCAATACCCGCCCCTGGCACCTTCCCTCACCCTTTCTTTCGCAGTGCCGCCGCCGGGTATGCCCACGGGCATGCCGCAACCGGGGATGCCGCTGCCAGGCATGTGGACCCCCGGCCAGTAAGGAGCCGGCAGCTGCTGTGGAGAGCAGCAGCTAACGGTTGGGGACGGGATATGGCCCGATAGGAGTAGCAGCTGGCATATGGTTCTCTACTAGGTTGCAGCTCTGGGATGTGGCTCGGTGCCGACCTGCAGCCCACGCCCGCACCTTGCACCATCACTGCAGCGGCTGTCAAGGACTGCGAACATGACATTCTTGGGTGCATGTTGGGATGGAGCCGGTCTGGAACGTTTGCGGCTCCCACGGCTGTGCTGTGTGTTGGCGCCTCTCGTCTTGTTGTGTGTGGCCGGTGAGCTGGGGGGGGGCCCAGGCAGAAGCTGCGGCAGCGAGCAGCAGGACAGCTGCGCACACCCTGGTTCACCAGGCCTGCCTGCGCATGCATGGCGCTGTCTAAACTTTCAAGGGGCCAACCGGCTGTAGCAGGCTGTGGCTGCTGAAACTGATGTTTGGGCGTTGGTATCCAGGTGGCCCGTTCAGATGTATGGGAGAAGGTGCTACATGGAGCGTGCACGAACTTCTGTGTTGGGGGACGCTAAGAGCGCTTGGGACACTAAAATGCTGGGGGTAAGATCTTTACTGAGGTGTGCTGCTTCCAGCCTTGCAAGCCGGCTACGCATTTGCGGCGGTCACAACTGTGTTCGCTTCATAGTGCTGCGACTAACACCAGAGACCGTGACCATCAGTCTGGAGTGTCGCCCCCGAGTGTCTGGTGGCAAAGCAAAGCACAGGCTCCCGGCCATACTTGCTGAGGACGGGCTGGATATGCCGCTGTGCTGTGTATATCTAATGTGAACAATTGCCACTGTCACGGTTACTTATAGTGCACGATTGATCACCATGATCCACATTGGGTGCATGTATGAGCCAGTAGCGGCTGTATGATACAGGTAGGTGCGGTAAAGGGACTCTTATTCAGATATGCAAGGTCCCAGCGTGCTGAAGTACGGAGGCTTCGGATCTTGATGATTAGTCAGCTTCATAGATCTGCATGCTGCTTTACGTGCATGCTGCTTTACCTACATTGATACTCCTGACAAGCACATTCAAGCTGAATCACAGCTAATTAGCTTGTAAGCTCATATAATCTGGTCTTTTAATTAGACGGACATGCTACAATAAGCGATGACCACTATCACGAATTCAGTCAATCATATTCACTGCTGGCATTGTTCCTATTGACCATAGATACAATGCACACATATAATCCACGTTGCAATACTGGTGTGTATGGCGGCAAAAATGGTGGCGTTCTAGCGTTCGCGCGCGCGGACCACCACAACAAGACCGTTGACTGTCTTTCTGCAGCACAGGCCCACACTTATGGTGCACCTCATTTAGCAAGACATCCAGTGACATCCGAGGATTTTCAGTCCGGGGGCGTATGCTACCTGAGGGTGCCTTACACTTCGCCGGGTGTGACCGTGTTCGGGGTGTCGGATCTCCCGCCCAAGACCTTCGACGCTCTTAGGAGAGCCTGCTCTGAAAACGAGCAGACTCTGGATAGTGTTGCATAGGTCGTGCGTAGAGCTGGAATTAGCAGGTCGGGACGGGGCACTTAAGCTACTGGCCGACCTTAAGGTAATGTAAGCGTACATTGCCGCCCGTTGGCTGGTCCGCGAGTTTTAGGTCTTGGGTCCGGAGCGGCGGTAAGTGCCTGGACCTTTTGATAGGAATATTTATTGGCTTCACTGGCGGCTTCTCGCTGGCGGTGGTCCCCAATTTGCTCTGCCTATGTACGCCTCTTCGTCCTCCTCCTTGCATCTAGGCTGCAGCTGTGTGCCTTATCCTTAGGTCTAGGTTTCTACACAAGGCATGTTTTGGTGCGTCAATGTTGATAATTGGGCATTCACAAGTGATTGGTGAAGACATGTATGTTTGCGTGTGTAGACAGGCGAGACAGGTGCAGGTGAATGTAAACATGGGTTACCCTGTCTGTTACCCGTCAGTAGTGTATTACCCCGACCCCTTTGTTACCCCTCGGTAAGGGGTTATCCCTACCCCGGGGTTAGGTTACCCACCTCCCTTCGTACATAGCCACATGGGTAACCCCTAACCCTACATGTAGGGTGTACACCCTGGGTTACGCTTAAGGGGGGGTTACCCCCCGTTTTATGCCATAGGGAGAGTTTTCCATAGTTTCCCAAAACTGCTTGAGGGCTGCTATAACGCTTCTGTTTACCTTCGTCTGGGCCAAGCTGTGCTCATGTAGTGGGGTTGCTCACGTGGGCCAATGTGTTACAGGGTGTTTCCACAGGGTGTTTCCACTTGGCCGCACACTAACATAGAAAGTAAAAGTTCTTTAGAAATCGCGTAAAGGGACTCCGTACGCGAAAAGCCGAAGGGCCCAGTGGAAACGCCTCGGACACTAAGTCCGCATAAGTGGCACACTAGTTATCAGGGCCTCAGACCTGCTGATAACTTTCAAAGTGGACATTAACTTCCGAGCGGGAAAATTCATAGTCAGCCATTTTCCTTCCTCAAGGCCCTACGTTGACTTTTGTGTTTTCCTTTATCCACAGCCGCAAATAGCCCGCTAACCAGTGGAATTCACAGCAGGACCGGTCGAATTGCCCACATTCCAGCAATAAGCCGACCAAACTGTAATGATTTGCGCATTAAATTACACCCACTCTTACTATAACAATGGTTTGGTGCCTTTATAGCAACCTGTCGTATGGTTCCGGGGCGCTTAGTGGGAACACCTGTCCACTAGTCCACACACTAAGTCCACATTAAAGATAATGTTCAAACGTTAGTGTGCGGCCAAGTTGAAACACACTTAGTCTAACATCGCCTGTGCAAATCGCAACAATGGGTCCCAAGAAGCGAACTTTTGAGGGTGCGGCGTCATGCGCCTCGTCCAAGAAGAAAGCGTTCTCAGAGGCGGCATTTGAGACTACGTATGCTGGCTGGCTGGCCAAAGGCCTTGATGCTAGTGCTATACTGTTGAAAAGGAGGAAGCTGAAGCTGCCTTATGATGAGGTCATAGACATTATCTTACCAAAAGTGTTCAAGGATGCCCTCATCGCAAGCGGGTGTGTAATCCAGCCTCCGAGCCAAGAGCGGCCCAAGTACATTATTTTCTGGGCGCTGCTCAAGAACCTGCTGCAATTCCAAGCACTGGACAAGCTTTTCGGCGTCTTCTTCGTTGGTGGTGATGATGAGGCAAGCGACGTGGGCCACGAGGAAGATGACGTGGAAGATGGCGAGCACGGTATGTGGGTTGCACCCTTTCGGCGCTCGCATCTTCGCATGTTGCGTACACACCCCCGACCATGGTCCCCAGAGCCCAAAAGGGAACGCACCCGGTCAGGAGTTGGGACAGACTACAACGGGTCCCTGCACTGTCTGTCGGTCCTGCCTGAAATCCCCCACCCTTCCATTCTGCCGCTGTTTGAGCTGCCATACAGCCTTAGGACCCGTCAGCAGTAGCTTTTGCCATTTCTGCAATGGGCATAACGGAAGGACCCGTCTTGTTTGCCAACACCTGTGTGTGTCATGTGAGTCGTGTGCATGTGTGCTATATGTGGCATACCTCAGTTAGTTGGAGCATGTTACAGTCAAGTATAATGCTCTGGACCGTTCTAAGACACGCAGCTGACCATACACCCAAGGCCATTGGCCATTGCTCTTGGGAGTGAGGCACCTGTCCCTACATGACTGTTCAAGTCCATTCATCTCACCGCATGATATCTGCTGCTGCAGATATGTCCAAGATTGTCCTCGTCCACTCCCGCCCTGACGAGATGTGGAAAGTGCGCTCCAACACCTTGATGGCAAGCGTTGTGTCCAAGCATTGCACCCCCATGCTCATCGTGGAGGTGAAGGCAGCTGTGGATGTCGAAAAGCACCTATGGCAGCCGCTGGCTACTGCACTTGAGCTGGCGGAGGCAAGCGGCACAGAGGAGCCGGTTTGGATGCTGCTCACTGACATGCAGAAGTGGCACTTTGCCAAGGTCCAGCATGTGGGGCCACGGCCGCAAACAAAAGAGCAGGGTGCAGCAGCAGCAGCTGCACAGGCACCAACTTCGGTTGTGCCGCAGGACCCAGCTGCCAGCCTTATGCGAACCAAAGCAAGGTACTCAATACAGCTGTATAGGGAGATCTATGCTGGCTTGGACGAGAATAGCAGCTCAAATTGCTACCAGGTGTGTGGGATGATGTAACGACACAAATGCCTATCTGAGCATCCTGGGTTACGCCTTTGCTGTGTTACAATGGTATTGAGACGGGACCGCACGTCTTCTGTAACAAACTTCGGGTCGGCGGTTCGATTCTGGCAACCAGCAAGTCGCAAATTGGCGATTTCATGGTGTAGTGGATAAACCAGTGCACTGGCGTGAGGTGGGATGGCTCCTGTGCTCGAAATAATGGCCGAGGATGTCCATTGCTAAGTGGGGGGCAATGTAACGACGCAAATGCCAATCTGAGCATCCCGGGTTATGCCTTTGCTGTGTGCACCAAATCCGTGGAAAATTGCTGGTATCTCTGGGTATCGGTGTGGGGTATCGGTGTGGGGTATCGGTGTGGGGTATCGGTGTGGGGTCCATAGGACCTCGTATACCTCCATAGGACCTCGTGTGTGACCTTCCCTTTCCCTTTCCCTTCCCTTCCCTTCCCTTCCCTTTCCCTTCCCTTTCCCTCTGCCAAACTTGCCAAACTCTCCCTACGCTGATCTGTCGCTGAAGTGCTCGCATCTTGTTACTTCACATCTGCATGTATGCCATCCTCATTTCAAAGCTTTTATGTCGTGATGCAATCCACCAAACACGTTTTGCAGGTGAACATCAACCTTAAAAATGCTTTGCCTGCCCATTTCTGGTTGCTTATAATAAGTGCTGCCCCTCCCTGCACCGCCACAGGTGCTGCAGCAGTTACTGAAGATCATGTACCCTGGCCTGCACCTGCGGGAGCTGCTAACACGCCAAGATGCTGGCCAGGAAGTGATCAACTCGCAGACGGAGAGCTGGGTCAAGCAGTCCCTGGCGAATGCCAAGGTGTGGTAGTTGCCTACAATCAATGCCAAGGCTGTTGTGCTTTAGTGACTGCGGTGCTGCTCGATGCCAAGGCAGTTGTATGCCATGTCAGACAGTGGCAACTGTGTTCACTTTGTTTTGTATAGCAGGCTGAGCTCCACTGGTGCGAGATGGGGCGCCTGTACCATGATCCGATGCTGTGTGGTGTGTTCTTCTTTATCATAACAGTCGGTGCTGGCCTTGTACTTTCATACTGCGGATTGTGTGACCCGTGTTCAACAGCACTTTGCTGAAGTCACCTGCCTTGTGTCAAGGTTTAAATGGGATGGTGATGTTTAACGTGTTTGGGTGCCTTCATCATGTGCTTGCCTCCTCAGGACATCGCTGACTTAGCCGTGGCGGCGGTGGAGAATGAAGACTTAGCGGCGGAAAACGCAAAGCTGGCCGTGGTGGCGGAGAATGAAGACTTAGCGGCGGAAAACGCAGAGCTGGCTGCAGCACTAATGCAGGTGTGACAGGCGCTGCATGTGCACACTGTAAAACCGCAAAGCTGTGACAAGCACTGGTCGAATTAGCAGCTGCTGCTGGACTGCAGCATAGTGCCTGGTTTGCAGAACGAGTAGGGGGCAGGTGGTGGCAAACACTGATGCAGCTGGCACTGCTGGGCCGCAGGATAGTGCTGACGGTGCAATGCTGCCGGCTGGTTGGAGGTGGCAGTGCCGGCTGTTTGCGTCAAGGCGCTGCCAGGCTGCAGCATAGCGCCTGCGATGCATGACGAGGGCTGGCTGGAGGTGGCAGTGCTGGCCTATTGTCCTTTGTAGTAACAGTCGGTGCATGTATTGTCGTACTGTAAATTGTGTGACCGTATTCGACAACACTATGCTGAAACGACCTCTCCCTGTGTAAAGACGGTCAAAGTAATGGTGATATTGTTAAAAGCATTTGGTGCCTTCATCATTGCTTGCCTCCCCAGAAAAACGCGGCATTGCGTACGCAGCTGGCGTTGCAGGCGAGTGCTGTATGACAGCCATCCTGACACAATCACCAGCCCCTCCAGCGGCTGCTACCCAGGTTGGCAGAACAAGTGGGGGGCTGGCGGTGGCAAAGCATGTCTGTGGGCGAGGGCTAGCTGTCAGTGGTTGCCGGCTGCCTGCAGCAAGGCGCTACCGGGCCTCAGCATGGTTCACACGAGCAGTAAATGGGCTATAGCAGCCTCTGTGCTCGGGGTATGTCTGTCCTTCAGTGTTGCCTTCAGGTGCTGGTGGGCAGAGGCTCAGGTTTGGCTTGGGCTTGGGGTTCGGCATGGCTGCCATGCCGTGCTGTTGAGTCCTTTTTGTAATAGTCGTTGCACAGGGTAGGTTGTGTCATGCCTTAACAAGTTAGCCAGTTGTTGGGAAAAGGTCCAGCAGGTAAATGTTAGGTTTTTGTAATATATCAGGTACTAAAGTTCAAGGGCGTGGCTTTCCTGGACACGGTGATAGTGGTCCCCAGTCTTTGTGCATGCAGAGATTCTAGTAACCCAGCATAGCCCCTGCCCACTGGTTTGGCTCCTGTGGTGAGTGCTGGCTGGCAGGGGGTGGTGCGGGTGCCAGTGCAGGCTTAGGCAACCACTTGACGGGTGCTGACAAATGTGGCGCAACACAATAAGCTCTGCACGACCCATTTGCTATCACCCTTGATGTACGGGCCGCTGTCAGGGTATGTAACAGTTCTCTTGCAGGATGCCAATGTCATTACTACCTTTGGGGTTCAGATGCGAATTGTGATGAGTGTACACTTTGTAGAGGTGGACCTGACTAGCAGATACGGTTGCCTTACACGCTGAAGACGCACTGGTTCGCTTCTGTTTGCCTGACTTTGGCTGTGTTGAGAATGGTAACCCATGTGCGAGGCCTCACAGCCTGAGCTGCATCGGGGTTATCGTCTGTTTGCCCTCCGTGCTCCATGCAGGGGACCCCTGAAGGAATTTTTTGCAGGTCGGTTTGCAAATGTGGACGTAGGTGGTCCTTTTCACACTCAGTATTGTTGCATCAGCGTACTTCATGGCTGGCTTGGGTGGGCGATGTCGTGATATCACTTTGACCACCTTGTTGGCTTTTCTCCCATCATAGTGACATCGCATCATGTGCTTTGTGCATGCCTACATCTATTTGCTGCCTTGGTTGCCGCACTCAGGCTAATACTGCAACCGCTTGGGCAAGGACTTTTCTTGATGTAGCAGCCGGTACACAGTACGGTGCTATAAATACGCGCAGAGCGCGTATTTACGCGCAGAGCGCAACCGCCAGCAACTCGAGAGACCTTTTCAGCGGTCAGCTGCTACATTTGGTATCGAGACCTCGTGAAAATTTACGATCCTGAAGTCGTCGGTTCAACCCCCACCGATCACGTTCGAGTGTTATTCGGGTGTGGCGACTCAGAGAGCGAATATCGCACAAATTATAAAAGTAGCTGAACCGACTGGACTGTCTCTGTGCCTGAAAAATCTGAAGACGGCTAGGCACATGTGAGCCGGCACATGACGTGACGTGGAGTAATTACCTACTGCCCGAGGGTAGGCGAAGGTAGGCACAGGCTGGTGGCATACGAGGCTCTAAGGGCCCGGGACGGTTCCCTTCAAAGGGGGGGAATGTAACAGCCGGTACACAGTACGGTGCTATAAATACGCGCAGAGCGCGACCGCCAGCAACTCGAGAGACCTTTTCAGCGGTCAGCTGCTACATTTGACCTGAAGTCTTGGCCTGCCAGGGGTTTTTGGGCTGCCGCTGGTGAAAAGTCCTGGGCAGCCCTGGAACGCAGCAAGGACTTGCTGGGGCCAAGGTACTGCCGCCAAAGCCCTGGCAGCCAGGGAGCAAATAGAGAAAGAAGCGGCCAGGGGGCCTTGTGATGTGGGCATGTTGCTGGGCTTGACCGGATTGTGAGGAGGTGGTGGGATGCAGGGCTCGTACCTTTTTTGATTTTTGGAAAAATGGCCATTGGAAAAACGGCCAAAAAATTTGGCGCTGGCTAGCCGCATCACCAGGTCGCGAAACATACCGTTGTGCCGCAGGTAGGTATTGATCGGGTTTGCCGGGGGGTAAGTAATTTTACACGGGGGACCTCCTCGGGCTGACAGCGCCCAACAAGCACCCAACCCCACGGCAGTTCCCCACAACCGCGGATGCACACCGAAGCAAGGCCGGCGAAGTCGCGAGTAGCTAATAAAACACTCAGCGAAAAAACCGCCAGGTCTTCAAGCAAGCAAAGGAATCAAGAAGGGTTTGTATCTTATTCGTAGGAAACACTTATTTTGGCCTGCTGCACGAAAACTTTCGACCTACCACGAAAAGTTCGCGTCACACGAAACTTCTACGAAACGGGTCCAAGGAAGATAGGAACCCTGGAATCAACCGGGCACCAATGCCTACGGGACGGGTCGGCCCACACAAAGCAGCTGGCCGTGCACAACGGGCAGCAGCCACGCCACCCTCTATGCAGAAAACCCAATGATGCAAAGTCCTGCAAGCGTGCCCAGAAGTCAGCTATAGCTTAGGGCAGCCGGGTCAGTCGTGTGGTCTGCATGCATGTAGCGCCTACCTGTCTCCATTGCAATAAGCCGCAGCCAACACCACCACGTCCCAAACACACTGCTGCACGCCAACGGTGGGGGGGCAAGCATCTGTGGCTTGCTTGCCACAGATGCTTGCCACAGAGGCTTGGGGGGACAAGCAAGCCACAGATGTGCACGTGTGACTCGGCAGCAGCAACGGCTCTCCAGGGCGCTCACTATCTCTTGCACAATAGGGCAGAACCAGGAACGGTGCATGTGTGGGCGTAGTAAGCGGTCCAGGGCCTGCTGTAGAACTACCACACTGACAGGGCTCGGTAGAATGGTCACGGATATGGCTGTTACCTAGTATAGGAATGCCATCAAGCGTCAAACGCCAGAAAGTCTCCTTGTGCACATTCTCCCAATGCACATTTCGCCACAGACGGGAAGACGCTGTCTGTGGTGCGGGGCGTGAAGGGAAAGCCCTTGGTGCGGGGCGTGAAGGGAAAGCCCTTGGTGCGGGGCGTGAAGGGAAAGCCCTTGGTGAAGGGAAAGCCTCCCTTGGTGCTAACCAGTACGGCCGGTACAACATGTAACATTTCTCTTGCAGTTTCTTTCCGACCACTGTTTCTCCTTTTTGACTTCGCTACGAATCGCGGTCCATGAGCCTCCTAGCACGTCTGGGCCTTACGAGCTCTCGTGAGCTTATATCATAACACAACATAGCAGTTCCTTTCCGACCTCTGTTTAACTATGTGTACCAACATCAAAGACATCAGACGCAATAAATAATATCCACCGTTCCACTGTGAGAAGTCAAATTTACGGCCATCGAAAGGATTTGTCTAATCTGAAGACACAGGAAAAGTGGCGTGTGTGGAGGCCAAGTATGGATACAATAGAGCATTTATTACAAAGGGGCCAGGAGGCGCAAGCGGGCGGAGTTGCTCAGGTATAGCCCTAGGAAGGCCGAATCAGGACTCCGGGCAGGGTATGAAGCTGGAAGCATTATTGTTGTCTCCAGGCTTTGCTCAGCGCATCGGAAGCGGAGCGGATTATTGGACAACTTGCTCCATTGACACTTGAAGAAGTAAGTGTTCGCCGGGAAGTCGTTTCCGCTTTGATCTATGTGCTAGTATCAAGTAGCTCTCTTTCAGATAATTACGTTGGTGATTAGTTCACCAATAGCAGGAGAGCCTCGTACTAACGTCTAACCGAAGAGCGCCTCAGAACGAGGCAGAGGCCAGCCAAAGCCATAGAATGAACCAGCCTTTTAAGGAAATGATCAGCGGAATATTTTCAGTCAACAACCGCCTAGTTTTGCCTGTTTTGTGACGCTGTACAACTTGTACGACCTGCAAAACCTGCAAACGTACACAGCACCTCAGAATTTTTCGCATGATTTTCGTAGAAATGCATCCGATTGATTTTGCACCGTAAGAGCCTCTAACCAATTTTCTTACTTCATGTCCTGCCCTATCCATCACGCAGGTAGGAGGTCCCAAATGGCACACACAGCACGAGTGGATCGAGCGACTGAACCTGCAGGTAACCAGACACCTTCAAACCATAAAGGGTTGAAGTTGATTTGGTGGTGCTGGCCTCATATTGGCATCGTATGCGTGCGGGAGGAGGAGCGCATTGCAACCCCTTATCGCCACCCCTCTCTAGGGCTTAGTGGTGGCTGGTGGCCAGTGAGCAGTTGGGGGGTTTGGGGTGAGGGGTAGCGGCCTGCTGTGAGTGCCGAATGGTTTGTGGTAAGCCCTTCCCCCCGTGGTAAGTCATCTCTCTCTCGTCCTCCCGACAAGAGGAACCCCTTAACCCTCCACACCTTTCAGGCCCACTACAATGCTCAGACCCACAGCGACGAGTTCGTTATGGAGCTGCTCGTGTCGCTCGACAAGATGCAGGTTTGTATGGGGTGTCTCCTCGCCATCATCCGCTTCATCCCCTCGCCTTCCCCCGACCCCCCCCACACACCCGCCCAAATTCAAAATTGAAATCAGGTTCTCGTCCACGACCTGCTCCTCATAGAGTGCTGGAAGGAGTTCGTGTACCCCCTGCTGGCGTCACATCTGGCCGAGCATGTGGACTCCGTGACCACCTACGTGCTGCTGTACCATGAAGTGACAGTGGCTGATCTGTTGCAGGTGGGAAGGAGGGGGGAATCGGCTGATGGGGGAATGCAGGTTGGTTTAGGTCGGGTTAGGCTGAGGTTTGAGGACAGTGCGATATGCCGCTTTTATGGGTTGATTGTTAAGGTTGCGCAGCGGAGTGCGCACGCACTGCGTCCTCCTGTTATTAAAAACACTTATTGATTCGTTTGTACATAAGCTTTTAAAGTAATGGAATCTGAAAAGTCTGAAATAGAGTTTGCCGATATGTTTCTTGCCAAGCTCTATCCTATTAAAACGCACATATAAAAAAACGAATAATATGAAATACCAAAGAATTCTTGATAAACACGATCATCCTGAACTTGGCACACTCACACAAAACACGCACGGGGCTTTCTTTCCAACGTCTTTCCCCTCCATTCCCCTCCCCCCACCTTTCCCTTTCCCCCAGCTAATGGCCGCCTGAGAAGTATGTTGGGCAGCAAATGCCCTTGGCTTCCCCTTGCACATCACAATATGATGATGATGATGTTTCCCCTCTCTCACCCTCACTTCTCGTCCCCACCCCTGCTGCTAGGTGGCTCTGTACCACTCCCACGCCGCCAAGTCCCTATCCGAGGATTACGCCCTGGAGCTGGCGGATTGGTGCTACAGGAAATTGACACGTCTGAACGCGGAGGGCCACAAGCTGGCGGAGCCTAGGGGTAGGAGGGAGCCGGAGGGGAAGGGGGGACGGGGTTTAAGGGGGGGGTTAGGCCTAAAAAGACCGACGGGAGAAGAGCAGCGCAATGGCCTTGGGCTTCCTTTCTTCCGCCTCCCCTCGCTCCCTAGACCCCCACTCATCCGCCCGCCCGGACCCCGCCTCAGACCGCACCGCGGAGGAGCTGCTGTCTATGAGCAGATTGGACGAGCAAGAGGAGAAAAGGCGGGAAATCGAGTTCAGTATCACGATGTGCAGTCTGGCGATATTGCGGTACGTACGGGAAATTGTGGGATGTTTAGCTGGACTGGGGTGGGAGAGAGGGGAAATGAGTTTGGAAAGTTTCATACCTATCTGTACACATGCATGCATGTGTGTGTACGGGAGCGCGTACGGAAGTTGGGTATATGCTGGAGACCTTACGGAGGAGCGGGGCTTGAGGGGGAGAGGTAACGAAGGAGTACGGCGTCATTCCGGCCCATACATATGTCCCCTCCCTCCGTAACCCCCCTCCCTCACACCCCCCTTCTTTCCCCTCTCCCCGCCCCCGGGCCCCCTGCCGCAGCTACATCACGGACTCCCTCGCCGGCATGCCCATGGGCGCCCTCAGCCGCGTCGTGTCCACCAACGACACCCTCATGGCCCTCATACCCCTACTGGACAAGCCCCCTTGGGTGCGAACCAGGATCATGAACCCCAACCCGCAGCAGCAGCAATCAACGAACAACGGCACTAACAGCCGCAGCGGTGTCATGAACCTGAATAGAGGGGGCGGTGGGAGGCCTGTGCTTGAGAAGTGGGTGGGTAATCGCTGGGTGGTGGTGCCACCCGCGGACAGACTGAAGATCACGCAGACGGATGGGCAGGTGGGTGAACCGGTGTGTATGTATTTATGTATGTGTGTATGTATGTGTGTATGTATGTTGGGGTGTGGGGCCAGTGCATGGGGGGAAAGGTGCCCAGGGGGGAGGGGCCCAGTCCTTGTTGATGTGTCACGTGCCCGTGCCATACACACCCTGTCCACACGCACCTCTACCCTCCTACTTCAACGCAGCTTGATTCGCCCTCCCGTCCACATCCCGTTCATCTCACTACCAACTAACCAACCATCCAACCAACTCAGGTATGGCTGGCGGTGACCAATCTGTTGGTGGAGCCCCGATGCCGTGCAAAGTACGGCATGGACGAGTTCCGTCGGGAACGGATTTTGGGTCTCAAACGGCACCTAAACGAGCTCATGTTTGACCAGGTATGTATGTACGTCTGTATGCATGTATGCGCGCGCGTGTGTGCGCGCGCTCCATCCTTCCCCCTACCCTGCCCTAACCTACCCGTACCTACCTGCTGCTTTTGTTTGTTTGTTCATATACGTATGTGTGTGTGTGTGTTTCTCAGTTGCCCGTACTCAGGGACTTGCAGCGGGTGCTGGACGAGCTAGCGCTGGGTGTGCTGCCTGATCAGGTGATGGCGGGTGGGAGGGGGGAGGGGGGAGGGGGCAGAGGAATGGAGGACCCGAAGCCCTGAAGACGGCAAGATGGCCTTGTCATGTATGGCATACATACATACATACATACATACATACATACATACATACATACATGCATACATACATACGTACGTACATACGTACGTACGTACATACGTACATACATACGTACATACATACGTACATACATACGTACATACATACGTACATACACAATATATACTTAGACGGCAAGATGGCCTTGTCATGTATGGCATACATACATACATACATACATACATACATACGTACATACATACGTACATACACAATATATACTTAGGTCAGGCACTACTGGTGGAGCACGCACCAATGCCCCCGGAGGTTCCGGGATCGAGACCTGTCAGGGTCGAAAATCTTTCCGGTGGTGGAAGGTTAAAGTGCATCTAGTCGATGGACGGTAGTGACCTGGGATAAGGTCAACTAGCGAGCTGACCAGGAATGGAGTTGAGGCGCCGGTGGTGGATGCCGGTGGTGGGTGCAGAACCTGAGCGAGAAGTTGACTAGGGTGACTGGATGAGGGTGCCCTGAAACACCGGGGAAGGCAGGGTTTCGCCGGTTAGCGGCCACAGGGTGAAGATATGACCCCTCTGTCCCGCACATCATACACACACACGAGCCAGCCTCGTGCCTTCATAGGGCCCAGGGAGCGGAGGGAAGGAGGGAAGGAGGGGGTGGGTGAGGTGCGGGGTGGGCGTGGGCCCCCTCCCCTGCCTCTCTCCCTGCCTCTCTCCCTGCCTCTCCTTTCCTCCTTCTCCTTCACCAACATACACTACACACACTACCCCCCCCCACACTCCCTCTCCCTCTCCTGGTACGCACTTGCCCTGGCAGCAGCTTCACTCGTTTGTGGTTCGTCCTTCCCCCCCGCTCCCTCCCTTCTCCTTCCCTGAAACACACATACGCAAAAAAACATACACGCGAACCCTGACGCACTCACGTACACAAAAACACACACAGAGCGTTGCCGGCAAGTCCGCTGCCCTGATCCTGGAGGCCGTACCCGTCATCCGCGACTCTATTATGCGCGGTCGTACATGGCGGGTGGTGGCGGAGAAGGCCAAGCAGGAGCACTTTGGCCGAGAGGCGGCCCGCATGGCTCGAGAAAGGATGGAGGCTATGATAAAAGTAAGGTGGGGGGAGCGGTTTGTGTATGCATGTTTGTGTATATGTCTGTGTGTATGTGTGTCTGTTTAAGTGATCATATCCGCAACTAGGGAGGCGTGGCAAACAAGGGCAACTTAAAACCCCCGTCCCTACTGCCACTCCTCAACAGCACCTGGACTTCCTGTGCGAGCTGGAGCCGGAACCGGCAGCGGCGGCGGCAGCGGCGGCGGCAGAGGGCGCCGATGCTCCAGCCGCCAGCCCACCTCCGCCAGTAAAAGTCAGCACCTGGCGTAAGGTACGACACTGTACAACAGTACGGCGGCAGTTCATCGTACAACCGTAATGGGAAACCCCCATGCTCGTACCCCTCTGGATTTGAAGTTCGTTTGGCTGTGGCCGCCCGCAGGCCTTATACCTGACAGAAATGTATGTATGTACGTAAGTATGCACGTATGGATGTATGTCCCCATATGTTTCGGAGCAGGTACATGACAGCGGTGTGTTTGAGCCCTGGTACGACTTTGCCATGGAGGTGGACGAGTCGCGGGCCCCCGATCCCGTGGAGGTCGCACCAAATAACGCGGGAGCGACCGGCAGTAGCAGCAGCGGCACTGGAGGCGCTGTAGCGGCTGTACACGGGCTGCGGTATCGGTTACGGCCGTTGGACGTTGACAGCACACGACCGTTGCCTACCAAGGGAAAGGTGAGCTGGCAACGAGATGTACGGAATAAACACCTCCATTTCCGTGAGTTCGACTGGGTCGACATCAGGTGCTGTCTGTTGCTGAGGTTGCTTCTGTCTCTGGCTCCCAACCCCGGTCTCCCACACACACACACACGCCTCCCCCTCTTCCTTTTCAGGCCGTTGTTCGTTGGGGCGACCAGCTGCTCGCCGAGGCGCTGCTGCAGCTGCCGGAGCTGCCCACTCGCGACAGTGCGGAGGGGGCCGCGGTGCTGTGGGTGACAGTGGGGTTGCTGGCGGTGGACGGACTGGTGCTGCAGGTGCGGGGTTTGGCGGGTGGGGATGGAAGCAGGTAGGATGGTGGTTGGGCGTGAAGCGGAGGTCTTCCGAGTTGGGTTCCGGACTCCGCCTGCGAGCTGTTCTCTTGGGCTGCGCTGCCACCAGGAAAGGCTGCCTGGCGGGACGGTTGGAGAGCTGGTTGGTTGGTTGGTTGGTTATGTGGGTGGCTGGGTTACTGTTGTCCGGGGCTGTATCCATCCTTTCCCCGCCGCCCCGCTCTCTACTGTTTGACCTGACCTGACTTGACCTGACCTGAACCAGTAATAAGAGGACTGGAGAGGTCATATCCGCACGCACCGTAGCAGGGGGTTTTGCCCGCGCCTAAACCCCCTGCCGTACTAGCTCGTAGCCATGTGAACACGTAATCAATTCTGCGACTTCATTTTTATATATACATCACGCATTCTCACGCATTATATATGCCCTCTCATTGTTTTCCTCTGTGTGGCAGGTGAAGCTCAAGAAAGCGCCCAAGGTGGGTTGCGGGGTAGTGGGCTGGGAGGGGGGTTAGGTGGGGGTAAGACGAACCACTGACGGTTGGGGGGGGGGAGGTCACTGAACCGACAAACGCACAGTAAGAACAAGGGCTTTGCACGAGGAAGGAAAGAGAATGCAGCACCCCGGGATATATGGGGTATATGTATATGGCGGGATGATGATGCAAGAGAAAGAGAGAACCCCTAATCCTCATCAACTGTCCCCCCCCAACAACGGCCCCATTACTTCACCACTACTTACCCCCCCCCACACACACACACAATTCCCAATGCACACCCACGCAGCCCAGGGAGCGCGACAGGGTGGCGGGAGTGTGGTACGCATACCACCCCGTGGCGGGAGCCCTCACCGTGCTGAGAGATCACCGCCAGAACCAGCAGCAGCAGCAGCAGGGGGCCGCTGCCGTTACCGCCACCACTGCCGCCAGTAGCAGTGCCACCGGCAACGGCAGCCACCTGGCCGTGAAGGTGGGGGGGTTGGTGCCCTCTGTGCCACCCCAGTCCTCTACAGCAGCAGCCGCGGAGGGGGGTAACGGCGGTAGTGGCTGTGTCAAGGACGCCAGCAGCACCAGCACCAGCAGGCGGCCGTTGGTGCAAGTGATCTCAGAGCCGCCGCCGCCGCCGGCAGGGGCGAGGCCGCCCTCGTCGCCTCCTGTAGCAGCGGCGAGCAGCAGACCGGACAACAGCGCCGGTGGCGGCGGGGCGACCCATGCCGATGCTGTACAACTGGCGGCTGCAGCAGCAGGTGATGTGACCCTGGAGCCCTCGACGGCCGTACCTCCAAACGTGCTCCCCGGGGAGAGGGAGAAGCGCTCCGTTGTCGTACAGCCGCGTACGTCAACATCCGTTAATGGAACTTCCACGGCGGAGGCGGCCGGGGAGGGGGCTGGGACCGTAGCTGGAAGTGCAGGCGGGGGCCCTAGTAGGGCGGCAGCGGCAGGGGCAGGGGCGCAGATGCTGGTGGAGGTGAAGAACGGGGGGAAAGCGGCGGCTGCTGTGGTGGGCGCTGATGTGCCGGCGCCCCCTCTGGCAGCAGCGCCGGGGGTTGCGGAGGTAGTGGAGAAGCTGGCGGAGGAGGCTGGTCCTGGACTAGATGATCCAGAATGATGAGCCCTTCACTACCTCAGACGACGAAGCCTTTTTGCGGTCCAGGGTGTCAAAATCTGGGCCTTTGGGGGCCTTCCATACTTGTTGAGCGGGTTAATGACCGTAATAATAAGCGCTCTTGAGGGAGGTAACGAAGTTCCTGATGGCGATGTAACGTTGTGGCGCGCGCGGTCAATGTGGGTGACGAGCTCTTTGACCTTCATTTTTTTTGTTGAGTTTTTTGTGGCCTGGGGGTTAGGGAGCAAATTACAAATTGCAAAGAAGCTTTTGCGATCGGGCGCACGGTGTGACGCGGCAGTGCAAAACGCTGGTGTGATCTGGCAGGTCTGCAAAGAGGGCGTGCAAGACGTGAGACAAGTTTGGGCGTGCTCGACTTGAAAAGAGCTTGAGGTCTCTCTATGTAAATGAAGAGCGGCCCCAGCTTTACATTACGTTTTAAGAACAGGCAAGCGGACGCATGTGTGGACTTAGTCAGCTGTAACCCAACAAATCCCATTTTTGGTTCTGAAGGTATTCATGCTTCTCGTTTGCCAACTTCAGGACCGGGCTAAGGACAATTTCCCATGAACAGGAGCTCGGCTCCTAGCCAATCCATTTGACTGGACAACCATGCACCCGGGATTTTTTGGGGAGCCGCGCGGGATCCAAAGCAAATGACCTCTTCCCGCGCTAACCATATTCCTTTTTCGCCTTTTTCATACTCCTAGCTGAACCTTACAGCGAGCGAGGCTTAAACTTTCGGATAGCAATCCGAGCACGCAAGGCCAAAGCTGTTTACTTTACCTTCTTTTCGCTGTGGGCTTTTTCACGCGTCTGTCCATCCCACACCAAAGCCATATTTTATGCAAGGCCGCCAGCCACGCGCCTGCTGTCTAACTGCCGCTGTGTCTTAGCCTTGGAGAGCAGCGACCTAAAAAGATGCAGCCGGGAACAGGAAGGCTGCCCCGACAGAGCAGCTCAGGCCCTGTGCCAAGGCGCTTTGCGGCAGCCACAGC